TTGCAATAGTAAAAATCGTATAATAAAAAAATAAAAATACTAATATCTCGGGATCTACTAAACCGATTTTGATGATTTTGTTACCATTAAAATCAGAAAACATAGTTCTACAACTTTAATTAGAAGCCAAAAGAAGGTTAACTTAATAAAAAAAATACTTTTATATATAATACAGTCATATTCCTGCATTATAGAAAGTTCATATTAATTTCCGATTTTGTTTATTATAAGATTTGGCATTTTTTTAACCCTTCAACTATAATTTACCCCTTAATCTATTTAATTCTTTTAAAATATATAAATTACTAACTATCTGTTCAAAATATATAAATTGCAAATCAATTTGTATGAATAAGAATTAAATAAATATTTATCTGAATTTAAATAAATTAAACAGATCATATTTTTACTTACAATATATTAGAAAATTATCTATTTAAACTCTTTAATTCTGTATTATATCAAATAAATAGTATTAAATTTTTATATATCTAAGTATATTTAACTTAATATATAGTTTTTTTTATATATATCTATTAAGTTATTATTTGTTTTAAAATATATTATTTAACTATAAAATTCTAAATGCTTTTTTATTAACTAATCTATTTACTTTATAAACTATCAATAAAACTATGCTTTTGTAAAATTTATTTAAACTTTAGTATCAACATTATAATATATACTTAGTATTTTAGTATTATTTTGTTTTATTTTTAGATTTATAATCCAAATAGTTTAAAAAAACTATAACTTGTTTCTAATATATTGAGTCTAGCTTAATTTTTTTTTTTTATATTAAGTATAGCTTAATTTTCTTTTTTTTGATCTGATTTTAACAACTTAGTTAATAATACCTTTATTTAAAAGTTTTTGTTTGTCTAATTGTTTATATTAGTATTTATTTTCTAAATTTAGTCTTTATAGTAATATTGTTAAAATCTGTATTATTTTTTTATTTAGATTTTTTTAAATAAGTTTTTTGTTTTTTAGTTTTACAAATTTATGTAATTACAAAAACTTATTTTAGATTTGTACTATCTAATATTAATTTGTATTTTTTTATGTTTTTTGATATTAAGATAAAGTTTTGCTTCTATTTTTATTTGTAGTTATAAAGTAGTAACTATATAAAGTTACTAGATACAAAAAGAAGTACTATAAAGACTATAACTAAAACCAATACTTGTAGTCAAGACTAACTATTAAACTGCTAACTATAAAACTATAACTCTTAGTATTAAAAATACTATATGCAAAAATAAAAGCTCAAACATATTTATTTGCAGTTTAAACCTATTGAAGTGGCTAAGACTTATCTAGATTAGTTAAAATTTTCTAAATAATGTTCATTATTCTAGTATATACTAGTAAGTTACTTATAAATTTTACTAACTATTTACATTATCAAAAGTTAATTATATTATTATAAAGAAAAAAAAACAAAAATAAAATAATTAAATAAGAAATAAAGTATAGTTAAAAAGATAAAAACTAGTATTAATGTGGATTATACAACTCTTTCTGCTAATCTTTTTTTTCAAAATATAACTAAAGTGAATACATTAAGAAAACACAAAACTGGTTCAACAAATATTATTTAGACTCTTAAGAAAAAAGACTTAGTATACAAAATACAAATACTTTGTCTTAATAATAATATAAGCAAAGTCTTCAGAAACAAAACTTTTTCTGGCTTTAAAAATTTTTTGAACAATTTTTTGGGAAATCAGAAAAGTACACTAGACCAAAAAAATAACATCAGAACATATAACCAGCTATTAATATAAATAACAACAAATAATAACATATCACATTATTTTTAGCAACAAATAACCATATTAGGAAATATAGATAAGTACAAGCATAGGCACTAAGTAGATAAATAAATAACAAAAAGTTTAGAAATAGAAGTACAAACAAGAATAGAATTGCCATTAGATACAAATTTGATTTAACATATTAGAAGGTTTGGAGATAAAAATCATAGATATATAAATAACAAGATACTAGATAAGATTTTATCAAAATGTATTAAAAATTCAGATAATTTAAAATATACTAGGTAAATGCATAACATTGTGAGTCCGGAGCTAAATATATTTTTTGAAAAATAAATTATAAATATTACTAATTTATACAAAATTATACAAAAAATAAACTATATACTTAATATATTTTGATATAATAAAAAATTTAATACAAAATCAATATTAGAAAATATAAAAAAGATTTAAATATATTTATATACTTAATTATATATAATTTTATAATAAATTTATATTTTTATACTTTTATTTTTTAAATTTATTTTAAATTTTAATATTTTTAATATTTATTTAATTTTTACCTCTTTAATTATTAATATTTTGGATTTTCGTCTTGAAAATAATCTTATGAAACATAAAAATTATTATGTTTCATAAATTATACTTAAAACAAAGTATCTATTTAATTTAATTTTTTTTTAAATTATATATATTGCTAAGAAATATTATATTACTTAATTAAGAAGTAAACTCAAAAGATCTGTATTTTGTCAATCAAAACAGGCCAAAAATATTAATTTTTATTATCAAAACTTACAATGAAACTAAACCCACACATCAAATAAAGTTGCGCACTTGATGAAATTGCTATTAGAAAGTTTTCAAATCTGTGTAATGCAAAAAAAAGTCACGACATTGTTATGATTCGATAATAAAAAACACTTAAAAATAAAAATGGATTCTGAAATAATCAATTTCCATATTGGGGGTTCCTTAAAGCGGGTAGATTCAATGTAATGATCTACATATTACATAAACTGTATTCTTGAAATCTTTATAAACCAATAATCCTAACTGCATCAAAAAAGTAACTCTAAACTCATTAAAAATGTAACTTTAGTTAACTCGGCTTTAAGGATCCCACATATTGGATAAAATCCCTGAATGAATTGAGCTGGTTGTAGAGTGTTCTGACTTATGCGATTTCAGGGATTTTTCATTGTTCAAACAATGAAAAATCCCTGAAATCGCATAAGTCTGGACACCCTAGCTGGTTGGCATGAATGCATGTGAATAAATATCATAGACACTTCAGGGTAAAGTTATATTGATCGTGGGGCACAATTATTTTGATACCGGCTGAATTAAACGGTTAAACGATTAGAAAATTTTAGGCGATTCCAATCCCTAATAATATTATCACTTAATTCCTCACAATAGGACTTTCGTATGATTTGCTATAATTTTCTACTTAATTTTATATTATTTATAAAGTTTTACTTTTTTAAAAAAAAATAAAACTACACATAATAAAATAAAGAGTCATACAGAAAGTTTTTTATTAAGCTTTAAGACTCTTGCTAAAAAATATCTTCAACTCTTATTAAAGAAGTTAGCATAGTAGCTACTTCATAGAAATGTAAAATAATGTCATTACTATGCTAACTTAAAAAGATAAGTATTAAAATGCTTTTTGCAATAAAGTCCAACAATTCTAATAAAACTTTCTATATTAATTTTTCTTACTTTATTGCATGTTTTTTTTCCTTCTCTCTTCGCTTCCTGAAGGTTCTTTATGACCTTGCGATTATGACCCAGGGCACTAACCAATGCGCTATTGACCTATGGGTCTTGTTTTTGTTTTTTGAAAAAAATACTTTAAAGTTTGTAAAATAAAATTAAATAACATATGATGGGCAATTATATGAAAGTCTCCCAATTAGGGATGTCAACGGTTCGGTCATGACTGTGACCGATACCAGTTCGGTCACAAATCTTGACCGACCGAACCGACCGAACCGACCGAACCGACCGTTTGACCGATACTATATTTTGTTATTTATCATTGTAACCATCTGTAAAATAATTATCATGATACAAAAATAAGTTTGATTATAAGTATTGTGCTGAAATTATTGTTATATACAACTTTAACCAATTAGTTAAATGATATTTAATAAATATTCATATATCATATATCGATTATACTTGGAAATAATGATTGACAATAATTTATATTTATTATATTTATATTTTTTTTCAATCTATTATTAAATTAAATTTATTCTATAAAACATATTACATTATTAACTATATATTATAGTATTACGGATTATATAATTTAAATATAAATTTATTCCGCATTAGCTTATTAACTCTAAATCAAAAAAAGCTTTATCATATTCTATCGTAAATAAGAATCATTCCTCTACCTCATTTTTAAAAATAACAGATTAGCGGAAATCACAATGAGATATTTAACAAAGTTGTTTCCACTAATCTGACATTTAATAAAATAGACAGAGGGGACAGTGCTTATTACGGTGAATGCGGTAACTTAAATTAACTAATATTAATTAAATAATGCTGGATATCAAAATTTTAAATTACCCATCGGTTATGACGACGGTCGGTTCGGTCATGACTCCGTTCCTGGGATAAAAAAAAAATTTTGGATTAATAAACTTGAATAGATTAGTTTAAATATATTGATAATTAAAAAAAATTAACACACTAACAAATCAGTGCAAATAAATCGAATAGCAATTATAAAAGTAGGAATATCATACCTAAATAGATTATTTTGATACATCGATTAATAAAATATAATTATACTTACCACCTAGATTAATGCGAATAAAATGAAATTCAATAAGTTATAATGTAATGATGAATTCTATGACTTGGGTAAAATATTTTAAGTAGATCGATTAAAAAAATCTTCTAATTTATAGAATGAATTAACGCAATAAAATAAGCTGTGTAAAGGTAATTGCTAAGGGCTTAAATGGCTTATTTTAATATCGAAATATATCAAGATAAGTATATACTATATGCATGCATGCACGCATCTTGCCTTGCCGAAATTATAGCTTAAATTTAAGGTGCTGATCCAATGAATTACTATAAATGCAATACATGTAAAGCATCATCTCCAGTCTTAGAACGTTTGTCAAACAAATAACAAGTCTAAAAATTATACCAACATTATCAAAACTCCTAAAAGCAAAAATGAATAACGAATTTAAGAATCGGGATAAACTTAGAAAACAAAAGGCCAAAGAAAATGAAACACCTGATCAGAGAGACATGCACCTTGCCCGAGAACATGATCAAAAACGTAAAAAAAGAGCAATAGAATCAGCAGAAAAACGTGAACAGCGACTTGCACGAGATCGAGAACGAAAGCAGCAAAAAGTAGCAATGCAAAAATATAAAGAAGGTAATGAGTTAGAAGAAAGCAATAACAGTCGTATTACTACGCCGCAAGGACCAGAACAAGTAGAAAATGAAGCAGTAGTATATATTAATCCACATGAAGTGGCTAATATTAGTGAGATTGAGCAAAATCTTCTGAATAGATTTTGTAGTAAAATGGATGAGATTAATTTTACTCTTTGCCCTGTCTGCAATGAAAGCTTTCCTGGCATTGTGCTTGTAATAGGAAGTTGTCGTCGTTGCAGTGCTGAAAAAACAATGCCAAAAAAGTTTTCTGCTGAAAACAATATGGATCCTAAGGAAGTTCCTGAAGAACTTCAAGGACTTACAGAAGTTGAGGAAATGTTGATATCACAAGTCTTTACCGTAATGTCCGTATATTGACTTCGTGGGGGTCAATACAGATACCGCAGAAACATAATTAACTTCCCTCAGGATATACAAGAGTTCACAACCCACCTTCCCCGGAATCCATTATCACTAAACATGCTTATTGTGCAGTGTAAATCTGAAAATCATTCTGGATCATTTAGAGACTTTTATGTTCGCCATTCTAAAGTTACCTGCACATTATACTGGCTAAAAGGAAATAATCGATACTACTTCAACATTATCATAGATAACGAAATTCTTCAATCATTACCAGAAGACGATTATATTGATAGCCAACTTCCACAGATTCAAAGTGATCATAACTTAAACGGAACAAATGATGATGACATAATTACTCGCACTTTTGTCCCTTTTCTTCCTTCTACTGATAGCAAAAATACTGCAATTAACGGCACACTTAATCGATTACAGTCAGGTAATTCTCCTATAGCATGGCCAAAAATTGACAATAGGCCAGTTAACGAATTCTAAACTCCAGGTTACATTGCACGTGCATTTCCAACATTGTATCCAACCGGTCATGCTGACCTTCGTGCTGAACGAATTAAAGATGTCAAACCAGCAGAGTATTTTAAACATTTGCTTCGATATAAAGATAGAAGATTTGCGCGTCATAATCATTGGCGATATTTTGCGCTTAATACTCAGTTGCGATAGAGAGCATTACAAGAAGGAAGTATATACGTTAGACAAAAGCTGAATGATGAACAGCTCACTGTTGCAGATATTCAAGATATGATTTCAGAAGGTAATACTTACATGTCTAATCGAATTATGCGATTTGGAGAGGGATTACGTAGATCCAGACAGTTTTGGATAGCATGACGTTGTGAGTTGTCAGATATGATCAAACAGATAGGTTCACGAGGATTAGTATTTTTTACATTTAGCGCTGCCGACCTACATTGGCCAGAACTTCACAAGCTTATAAGATCGAGTGGATATTATGAAGAGAGAGAAACATCTAGGCAACATTGTCAAAATATAATCAACAATCCTCACATCATTTCCTGGTTTTTCAATAAGCAGTTTGAAATATTTTTTGAGAATGTACTTAAGCGACAATGGGAGCTAGAAGATTGGTGGTATAGGTTTGAATGGCAGCACCGTGGTAGTGTCCATGTGCATGAAATCGGAAAAAGACAAAATGCACCTGAAATTAACTGGACACAGATGAAAGAAAATGAGAATTTGATAAGCGAAGTAGTGCAGTATCTTAACAATTTGGTCACTACAATAAATCCAGGACTTAATGCGCCAGTACCTACCTGCCATCCATGCCGAAAAAACCATAATGAGATTAATGATGATATACAAGACTATATCGATTTGGTAAATAAGGTACAGAGGCACACACAATGTAGTTCTTCGTACTGTCTTCGTACAAACCAAGCTGGGCAGATGTTCTGTAGAAACGGTTATCCTAAAGAAAATAGTGAATATACTTTTTTGCGCGATGATCACCACGGTAAACCAGAGCTTATTACTGCAAGAAATGACCCGTATATCAATGCACATAGTCAACTTCAACTGCAAGGCTGAAGAGCAAATATGGATTTAAAGCCAGTGCTTAGCATTCATGCAGCCTTGCAATATATTGCTAAGTACGCAAGTAAGGCAGAACCACGATCTACTGCCTTTTCTGAAATATTAAATCAGATACTTCGAGACAGCAGATCTGATGATCCAATACTCGCTCCAGTTCAAAAATTGCTGTTGCATAGTGTTGCAGAATGTGACATCTCGGCTCAGGAGACTTGTCATCTTCTTTTAGGTATACCACTATATCATTCAAGCCGTTCATTTGTTACTCTGAATCTAAACAAAGAAGCACCACGATGGCTTCATGGAACAGGTAGCAGGGAAGGTAATGAATCTATTATAGTTAGTAATGCCAGGTGGACAGCGAAGTCACCTGTAAAAATTTATCAAGAAAGGCCTGTAGAGTTCGAAAATTTTTCATTATTTCATTTTAATTTGATACACAAATTTACTAACAATCACTGGAAAAGATGTGAACGTCAAAATGTAATACGAATCTGGCCACGGCCGCCACCCCTGCGAAATGGCCCTCAGTGGGAAGAATTTTGTTATATAAAGGTTCTTCTTCACGTTTGCTATCGAGATCTTCATCAATTGACTGAAAATGATTCAATAACATGGACTGCTTTATATAAACGTCATATTGATGAAATCAATTCTGACCCAATTGATTTGCTTGGCCCCGCTATAAATAATGAAGAGAGCAATATTGAAGATGATGATGATGAACAGGTAGAAGATGATGAACAGGAGGATTACCGATCTGAATGGATGCTTTTAGCAGAGATGGGTCCAGATGCAACTATTAATGATTCTTCCGCTATTGGATCTCATAGCATAGATAAAAATTATGACTGGGTTAGTGAGAGTAGACACAAATATTCGAACATAGATATTATGGATGCTAGCAATTTTGTACGCCAAGCTTCTGGTAGTTCTAGGACAGCAAATCGTGATGATTTAGACTCTGAAATTATTGATTACGAAACCTTAAATGAAAATCAGAAAAGTGTCATCAATCGAGCAGAATTACATTACTGTAACATTCTTACTGGGAATCAAATTGAGCCACTAAGAATAGTTGTAATGGGAACTGCAGATACTGGAAAATCGTATTTCATTAAAGCAATTCGAAACAGACTTAATATGATGGCTGGAGCTGCTGTTAAGTCACCAGTAATTGTAATAGCATCAACTGGGGTTGCTGCATTTAATATTAATGGGTTAACGATCCACTCAGCACTTTTTGTTCCTGTATGTACTAAAAATGTTGATATAGATGGTGAAAGATTGAGGCAATTGCAAGAAAAGTTACAGAATGTGAACTACTTTATTATAGATGAGAAAAGTATGGTCGGACACCGAATGATAGCTTTAATTGACATATGGCTACGGCAAGCTTTTCCTGAATGCAAAAACGAATCCTTCGGTGGATGCTCCATTATTATGTTCGGTGATTTTGGTCAGCTCTCACCTGTTCTAGATCTTCCCATGTATGCAACCAGTATATCACAAGACCTATTGTCTAATGACAGTCTCATGGCATACACGCAATTTAAAGAGGTGTACAAACTTGATGTGATTGAATGTCAATCAGGAAATTCCGAAGAACAACAGAAGTTCAGAGACATTCTTTTACGGTTGCGAGATGGTGAGTCCACCTTAGCAGATTGGGAAACCCTTACCACACGATTTGAAGAGAAAATAACTGAAATAGAAAGAAATCAGTTTTCGGAGGCTACTTTTATTTTACCTAAATGGTCTGAAGTTGATATAGTAAATTTAGATCAGCTTACCTCTCTGAAGCATCCTGTTGCTAAAATACTTGCAGTACATAGTGGTAGGCGTGATGCTAAACGAGCAGACTCTGATGAGGCCATGGGTTTAGAAGCTCAACTGTTATTAACTAAAGGTGCTCGTATTATGCTAACCGCGAACCTATGGACTGAGACAGAGTTAGTAAATAGAGCAATTGGAACAGTTCAGGGTATTCTGTATAATGAAGAAGGACTGCCTTCTCTTCCTATAGCAGTTCTCATATCCTTTGATAACTATCGAAGGCCCACTATTACTACTTTAGAAGGCACAGAAGTAGTTCCAATTGCACCCATTAGACGTTCCTGAGTAAGTAAAGGTGGAGTAATGTGCTCATGTTTGCAAATACCTGTTTGTCTTGTATGGGCCATTACAGTGCATAAGAGTCAAGGTCTTACACTTACAAAGGCTATAATAGACCTTGGATCTAAAGAATTTTCAGCAGGTCTTTCGTTTGTGGCAGTATCTAGGGTTCGTACAATGAATGATCTAATCTTCAAAGCTTTTAATTTTGAGAGACTTCAGTGCATAAAAAAATGTAGAAGGATTCAAGAGAGGAAAGATGAAGAGAAATGGTTGGTTTCTATAATAAAGAACTCAAGACCCAACATTAATACAGTATACAGCAATAATAAAAGTTAAAAAAAAAAATTTTATTAATAGCTCTTTTCAATTTTCTTTTTGAAATCATTAAAATTTCTTCAGGTATTTTGCTCATTCATTCGAGCATTTGTTTCCGTTTTATTTTAATGTTTATTAAATGGATTTGTTAAGATCATTCTAAAAGTTAGCTTGCACATACCTTCTGTTAAATTAGTACTCCTCGACAGTAGATTAAATTGTTAGTAAGTTTTCTTATAAGAGCAGTTGTTCATACCTTTGGCAATTTTCAGGGTACGTATTGGTCTTGAATTCGGAATTAGGGAAGTATATATATAGTAACAGTAACTATAACTCTAATACTTTTATATTTGAGTGCGTGAGAGTGAAAACCTGGAAACCGATTTAATGATTTACTATGATCGGTTTCCAGGTTTTCACTCTCATGCACTTATTTGTGAAATGATCTTTAAAAATTTTTAATATATTCTACTCGCCAATCGTTTATATAAGTGCCGTCAAGGAAAAACCTGTAAACGGCAATTAAGTTTGAAAAATTATTAGCGACATACATCTGCTAGTTATTTTGGTATCATGTGCCTTGGTTACCCGATCAGTTATTTTATTTTTTGTATAATTTTATTACATACATCAGTTTGCTATAAGTAGCTTGTGACTGAAATGTAGTTATACGTATACTTGCTGTCAAAACTATTAACGGATTTTACTATGTTTGGGATTTGGAAGATTTGTAGTTTGGGCGACAAGTATAGTTATATGCATGCTTTAATTACATATTGCATGTTATTTATCAAGGACTAAGTCTGATGAATAATAATTTTAAATTGCCCTCAGCGGCACTCATATATATATGATATCATATTATACTTTTGATCATATGTGTGGATGGACAGAAAATACAAAACTACTTTCTTGATATTTTTATATATAATGCATCAAAAATGTAACATTTGTATCATCATGCCTAGAATCTAAGGTCCTCCGCTTCGCTCTGGACAATAACAAAAGATCTAGCAGTCTATAATTTGAAAAATATTATGGCAAAGAATTTACTTCTTTATGACCAAATTCTTGAAGTGCTTAGAATAGCTGAAGTATGCATAGTATCATATAATATTATTAAAGAATAGACAACAAAACTATTAGCAATAGATATAAACACAGGCTTTTTTAACCCTTAAATAAATTTTAACAAAGAAAAAACATCCAAAGAAGAAATAAAAATAGAAATAACTGAAAAAGTTAAAGAAGTTAAAAAAAAGAAATAGTTATATCAAAAAAAGAAAAAAAAAATCAAGAACAAACAAACAAAAAGAAGAGATAAACCAAGACCTAAAGAGAGTTATAAGACAAATAAAAGAACTAAGTATTTCAATTGCACAACAACCAAGTTCTAGTAACTCTTAAAATATAGTTTCAAGAATGCAATTAGCTAGTACAACAAAAGAAAGAATTAATATTGAAGAAAAGCAAACTGAAAAAGATCAAGAGACATTAATAGATAACAGAATATACAATCTGAGGAAAAATATTAATAAGAAAATAATAGAGCTAAAAGCAAAAGAAAAGAATCAAGAAATATCAACACTTACAGACACAATTGAGCATAGTCAATAGTCACCAAAAAACTGCATATATGACAAAAGTAAATCTTTTAAAGCAAACATACTAACATATATAGTACTAGAAAAAAAACAAAAAAGAAAAACTAAAATATACTTAATGGACCTTTTGAAAAAACCATCACATTAAATCAATTCAAGAAGTTTTCAAAAAAGGTAATAGTTGAACAGAAGTGGACTTTGACTGTGAGTTTAGTAAAGACATAGCAATAGAAAGAATTAAAGAAAAAGAATTAAAGAAAAAGAAAGTAAATGACTCAAAATTATTTTAAAAGAGGCAAAAAGACAAGAAAGAAAACAGCACTAGCAAGCATATAAAGACAAAGAAAGAAAAGAAAAAAGTTTAAAAATCATACTAGACAAAAAGAAATAAATTACAAAGAAGTAGATCACTTAACAGAAAATATTTTTGAAACAGAATTATACTTAAGAATATGGGATCTTCCAGCTAATATTAATACAGAAGAAGTAAGCCATATATGCAGAAACATCAAAGAAGCTCATATAGAATATATCAAAAAATCCAAATACAAAGTATTAGCACTAGTTAAACAAAAAAATTAAAGAAAAAAAAGATTCTATAGTTATTACCAATAGAAGTACATAGACTAGCAAGAGTAATGTTAAATAGAAAAAATTACAATTAACATAATATGCAAAATTAATTTATAACAAAGTTAACAGAGCTCTCAGATAATGCATCAGAAGTATTATTATTATGATATCTAAAGAAAAAAAAAGCAAGATCAGTATATAACCACCTAATAGAAACAAAAACCAAAGAAGATTAGCAACAATTACTTTCATATCAATAGAGGAAATAGAAGCAGCACAGACAAAGCTAATAAGATTTAACAACTACCTACTTTTTTGGCAAAATCATAAAGAAAAAAAGAATAAATATATAAACAAAGAAGAAAATGTAGATACAAAATATATTAATAATAATAATATTAGTGAAATCTTTAACATAGAGAAGTATAGAAATAACAGAAACAATAAATAAGAAAAAAAGATTAACAAAAATCATAAATATAAGAAAGATAGAAAAAACTTAACAACTAAAAATCAAAAGCAAGAAAAGAATAAAAAGAAAACAGTGATCCAGACATAATCTCAAAAGAAAAATTCTTATTTTGAAAATATCTTAGGCCTAATACTAAAAAGATTAGAAAAATTAGAGAAAAAAGTAGAAAGAAATAGAATAGACCAACCTAATCACTCCTAAAGACACTACAGTTGAATCAATGAATATAGACAAGAAGATAAAAAATTTTTTATGACATGAAAGAGAGGTGTTTGAAGAAAAAAGAGAAATGAAGTCTTCTTATCAAAAAGATAAAGAGTCAGATAAAGGAAAAAAAAAATAGAAAGTATAAAGACAAAATGAAGACTGTTAAAAGAAAAATAAAAAGAGAAGAAAAAAGAAATGAAAGTAATATGTTACAATATTAATGGGCTAAAAACCAAAAGTTGGAAGTTGGAAAATTTGTTTGGCTAGGCAAAAAAAAAAGAAATCACAATAATAGGAATTATAGAAACAAATCTTACAAAAAGAGAAAAGAAATTTTTAACACATGTAGCAAACAAAAGATATATAAGTTTTTGGACAAATGCAGCAAAGAATAAGAAAAAAGAGTCAGATTTTGAAAATATAGTTAATAAATAATAAAAAAATATATAAGTACTGTCAAGAAAACAAATGAATATATTATAAAAATTACACTATACTTCAAACAATTGAAGTTAGTAGTAATTGCAGTCTATATGTTACCAAATAACAAAATAATAGAAAAAACATTTAGCAAAAAATTATAAAAACAGTCTTAAGAAGGAAAAGACAAACACAAATTATTGTGATAAGTGATTTCAATTATACAGTAGACAATATTTTAGACAGACAACATCCACAAATAACAAATTACAAAAGACTGCCAATCTTTAACTAAATGAAGAATCAAAACTTTAGAGATACATATAGAGACATGAATCTAACAATTAACAATATATATAGACAAATAGAAAAGCAACAACAAGAATTGATTATATATAAATATTAGAAGGATTAGCCTCAAGTTTATAAAAAACAGAAATTGAAGAAGTAAAAAAAATTACAGAAAGTGATCACAGAATAATAATGACAAAAATATAAATTAAATATATAGTAGCAAAAAAAAGCAAGGTAAAAATTAAAAGAAAAAAAATAGTCAAGAACTATATACTTGTATGACCAAGCAAAATCCAAAGACTAGGAAAATTATGCACAAGAATTACAAAACTGACTAGAAAAAAAAAAGATATTAAAAGACATTTACAAAAAGGAACAAAATAAAGAAAAAAAAGCAAAAAAGATAAACAACATATAAGACATAATAGAAGAAGCAATTATTACAGCAGCAAGTAAACATATACTAAAGAAAAAAGTATATAATATAATAACAAACAAAAGAAAAGTCAAAAAGAAGAGCAACAAGAAGAAAATATTGTTAAGCTTCAAAAATTAATTAATATATGAAAACAAAAAAAATCCAAGCAGTAACAGAAGAAGAAAGAAGTAAAGTAAATGAACAGTTAAAAATACTAGGCAAGAAAATAGGTGCAAAGTTATCAAGATTACAAAAACAATAGTCAAATGCATGGATAGAAGATATGAAGAGTTGAAAAAAACTATTATTAGAAAAGAAAAAGAAAGACTGGAAATGAGTACAAAGAAAACAAATAAAAGAAAATATAGATAAAAAATATAAAATAATTAGAACAGATCAGAGAAAGATAATAGCTAGCCTCTTAAATAGGTCTTATAAGAAAATAGTACTTAATAAGTTTATCGAACAAGTAGAAGAAGAAACAAATTTACTAACAAGCCTAGAAGATGTCAGAGTATAAGTAGAAGAACATTACAAAAAACAATTTAGAAAAAGAAATATGAAATTAGAAAAGATGATAAAAGAGTAAAAGAAAATATACAAACTATAAGAAAAAATTAAAGAGAAATAGTATATAAAAGTTGAGAAAGAAATTAAGAAAAAAAAATAAGAAGTTTTAAAAGAACTAAAAACAGAAACAGCTTTAGACATATCAGGTATAAGTTACATTCTAATAAAATGAGCAAAAAAGAGAATACAAGAAGTATTTAAAAACTTTGCAGACTTATGTTTAGAAGTAAAGAAAATACCAATCAAATAGAAGGTAGCACAAGTCTATCCAATATCTAAAAATGTTGAGTGG